ATGGGTTATGTGAACAGCATTTGTACCAGTTTGTTTTAGGATTAAACTAGCAGCCAAATTTATTAATTTATTATGTAATAGATTAGTAAAAATCCTATAGTGCCAATTCAATTTGTTATCCACAAGACCTACTGTACAATTCATTAATGATTTTGGATTATGCAGTATGCACTGGAAGAGTCAAATGTAACAAAATACATTAGCTTTGAAAGACTTAAATGAACCTTCTTTCAAAGGGTTTGTTCACCGGTATGCTATGTATATTGAAGCTCATCTTGTTGCCATTTGAGATTGAAATGAGAAGAAGTTTCCTCACTCTCAGGGTGAACCTGTGGAATTCCCTGCCACAAAGTGATTGAGCCAAAACATTGAATGTTTTCAATAAGGAGTTAGATTTAGGTCTTGGAGCTAAAGAAGTCAAGGATATGGCCGAAAGCTGGAACAGGATACTGAGTTCTTTAATTAGCCATGATTGTAATGAATGGAGGAGAAAACTGAAAGGGCCAAATGGTCTACTTTTCCTATTTTTCTATGTTTGTATGTTGCATCTCATTTTCTTCTTTTCCACCATTTCCAAACGGGAAGATGAGGTTAAAAACAAAGTGCAGGGGAAACTTGGAAGGTCTGGCAAAATCTGTGAAGAATGAAACTGAGTTAATATTTTGAGTTCAAATGAGTCTTCAGTTATGAAGAAGAATCATTTGTACTCAACGTTAACTCTGTTACTCTCTCCACAGATGCTGCCAGACCTGAGTTTTCAGTATCTGCAGTACTTTTCTTCTTGTTGGAAGTTGAAGTAGTTGAATGCAAAAGGTATTCAAAGGCTGAAGCAAGAATTACACTAAGTATGGAGATGATCTCCACCTGCTCTTTATTCAGAAAAGGGGAATGAACAATTTAATTCATTTTGAATATTTTCAGTCAAGATCTCATTACAATCCTCTTCGATACTAATAACTTTGAAAAAGGAAAGTAATTTCTGTGACGCCAACAAAAAAAATATTAGTAAAATTCACTTCATTTTTTTAAAAATGTTATGTCAAAACAATTAAAACCAACATAATTCAAACATTGGTAGATGAAGGACTTTTAAAATAAAGGAAATTTCTCCAAGCAGTCAATACAAAGTTGCACCCTGTGCAATTCTAAGTATACTCACTTCTTCTTGCACTAATGTAGCATCAGTCCTTCCAACTTGACCTTTTTTGTTTTGTAGGATCGCTTATGTTCTCAACCAATCATTTTTGGGTCTTTTGTCTGCATTCACCAACAGTTGAGTTCCATCCTTTCAACATACTCTCCAGTATAACTTGTTAAGGGGACACCAACAAGACATATGTCTATGTACCCCCTCTTCCTTGGATCACAACAGTTCACAATTTCAAGAGGCTTCCTTCCATAACCCTTTCCAGTGGTTTGGCAGGCTCTCTGTCACTTGGACAACAACAGTGGGGTTATCCAATCAAAAATCCCTTTCTTGTTCCCATCTTCAGTTTCCCATCCTTTCCAAATAAAAAATGCACAGTAACACCGTTTCTGGTCTGTTGAGTCCAAGATTGGTTCAAAGACTAGCATACAGAAAATTGTTTCATGTAGAGCCTTGCATGTTTTTTCATGGCACCAGCTACTAGTTTAACGAGAAAAACACAAGCTGAGCACCCCCACCACCCGACGCACACGTGGGCTTTCTATTTACCCTTTGGTTTTTTAGCTGTTCGTATCAGGGCATGTGGGCATTTCTTGGAAACTAATGGTGTCAAAATCAGGAAATAAATTAATCCTCTTTCTATGTACTCTCCAGTATAACTTGTTTAGGGGACATCAAACAAAGATGATCAGGCTCTTGCCAGCATGTAGGTCATCACGTCGTCTTCTGTAGTATGAAGAAATTCAGTTTCAGCTGCTTTATAAAGATGTTTCTCTTTCTTCTGTTTTGCAGATTTACTGTAATCCACCTGTTAGTAACAATGCAGTTTTATGTTGCAATAATTGTATGATGTTGACCAGGAAGATTGTGACCCTACATCATTGTTCAAAATTAACAAAATGAAGAACATGTAGAATATGAGAAAAGCAAAAGTTCAGATTAATTTTAAAACTAAAACAATGTTTAGTTATGTTTTACATGTTAATTATATCAGAAACTAATTTTGGATTGTTGCCCCTAGAATAACATGAGAGTTCCATTACTTACGGTATATAGTAACACAATGGATTATTGTTACCTCATTGCACTGAAGATGGATTGTTATTATCTGGCATAATGTTATAAGTTCTATATCAATGCTCACAATTAAGATAAAAGTGGAAACTTCATAAATCGTAAAATCCCTACAGTGTGGAATGCAGGCCATTTGGTGGTCGAGTCCATACTGCCCCTCTGAGGAGCATCCCACCCAGACCCAATGCCTACCCTAGCCCTGCATTTCCCACCCTAGATACTATGGGCAATTTAGCATAGCTAATCCACCTCACCTGCACATCTTTGGACTGTGGGAGGAAACCAGAGCACCCGCAAGAAACCCATGAGACATGGAGAGAATGTGCAAACTGCATACAAACAGTTGCCTGAGGCTGGAATCAAACCCGGGTCCCTAGTTAGCAGCACTAACCACTGACCCACCATACCAGTGAAGAAGATCATCTAAAAATGTTAACCATTTGTATTTTAAGTATTAATGACAGCTTGAGTTATTGAGCCTCTCAGAATAAAGTAGCTAAGTTAACGTAGTATGATTTGCCACACATTCCAATGTGTTGTAATAGCTCAAAAATGACAATACAGTAGATTATTGTTGGATTAACAATTGCAGTTTGGAAGGTTTTTGGTTGTTGCCATATTATCACCTGAAATGTGCTTTTCTCTTGGGAAGCTTAGATACTTAGCAGATCCTTCAGTAGTTTGATGTTGGCTTGAAGGTTCCTTGCAATTTAATTAGAGTGAAGCTGTGCATATGCAACAATTTAAAAAATCTGAGCTGTACGATCAGCTTGAAAGAATAACCGTCTGTCTAATGTGTCCCACTATATGAATGGAAATTTGAGATAAAGGCAAGTTGCAGTTAAGGCATGCAGCAGGATGTTCCCTATCCTTTCTCTCCCTTTTTTAGAAGGTAAGACTTTAGAGAGTAATCGCAGTGATAATCAAGAAAATGATTTATATTCAAAAATAACCAGTCCCAATTACCAGGTTGTGTTTTTCTTTCAGTTATTCTTGTGATGTGTGTGTCACTGGCAATGTCAACGTTTGTTGCTGAACATCTGAGTTACTTGCTCAGCCACTTCAGACAGCAAGTAAATGATAACCATTGATGTGATTCTGGAGACCAGGTCGAAACAGTAGGAACCCTGAATCAGTAGCTAGCAATTTTTTTCCTCTTACTGATATTAGAGTTTTATTTTAAGACTGAAAATTAGAACTTGGTTCACAGACAGTGTCCGGCTTACCAGTTCACTAATGTAATGCAACTGTTTACACTCCTCATCAACGGTGGTCCCTCTCAGACGAGGGTGACTCTTTTCTACTCTAAGGGTGAGTCTGTAGATGGCTGTACAGACTGATGTGACTACCGCAGGCTCTGTTACACTTGGGGCAGATGTTGGTCACGGGAAGGGTGAGTGGGGCCTTGGTGTGGCAGCACGCTTCTTCGTCTATTTGAGCCTGCCTTCTATTTTCTCCAGACAGCAAGTCTCAAGGTGCTCAATGCCTTCCTGGATGCTGCTCCTCCACTTTGGATGGTCTTTGGGCAGAGATTCTTAGGTATCTGTGGGAATGCTGCACTTCACCAGTTAGGCCTTGAGGGTATCACTGAAGTGCTTCCTTTGTCCACCTGGGGCTTGCCTGCTGTTTCAAACTGGGAGTAGAGCACATGCTTGGTGAGTCTTGTGTCACTCATGTGGATGTCATGCCCAGCCTATTGTAGCTGATCCATGGTGGTCAGTGCCTTGATGCTAGGGACGTTGGCCTGTTCAAGGATGCTGGTGTTGGTGCACCTTTCTTACCTCGTCGAACAATATTGTATCCTCTGTGGCTCCCATTTCTATATTAAGTGAAATCGGTAAAGAAGCTTAATAGTGTGGGAAATTTTAGTTTGACGTAAGTTCCATAGACATGTTGTTCTAGATGAAGGTTATTTATCATGCTTTTTTTTTAAAAAAAAAATTAGAATGATTGATCAAAATAGAAATTCTTTGAAAAATGTCATTGTAGATGCTATAACAATATCAACTACTACTAATCTGGCTTTAGCCTGGCCATTCTCAAAAATATTTAATATTCAAAATCATTCTATTTCTGTCAAAATTGCCATCAAATCTTGGAAGGTGCTTCAGAAACAATAAAGCTGTCAATTGTGGCAATTGAACTGCCATGTTTGTATAATGTAGGAATGAAACAATGTGGCATTCCTTAGCTAAATCATTTTTTAAAGTCTTTTAACACATTGAGTTATTCCACTTTGAATCTCTGTGCACAGAGTATCTCCAGTGGAGGCACTGTGATGCGTGCCGTGCTTAAGTATTTGCAATACTTGTGATTATCATTTGGGATCAGTAATTATAGCAATTTTGTTTTCCATCTCTCTCTATAGAAGTTTAGACTTCTGTCTTTAGTAGTATGTAGCACAGTACTCAAAAGTGAATTGATAGACAGCCAAAACTTTATGAAAGAATGCTTCTTTTTTAAACAAGTTGCTTCATGACATCAGACATCCCACAAAATACACTTCGAAGCAGCTGATAAGGTGTATCCTGCCTTATTGGTATGTCCTTTTATTCCTCAAAGTAAGTGTCGATACGTTCACTTTTTTTTGCAAATACAAATTATCGTGGTACTCTGGTTCCAAATTGAACTCTGTCTTTTATTCACTATTTTAAATTTAAATGTTTATAAAGCTTAGGTTTTTAAATAAAAAGTTCACCTCGGGTATAAGGACGTGACATCTATCTGGGTTTTTAATTCTGGTACTTACTGAAATTAGTTTTCGGTGTTTTTACAGGACAACTTGTTTGCCGTGATGACTCGTATCCTGCCTGGTGATTTTTGTGACAGTGGCTTGGTAACAATTAGTGAAGGAGCTATTGACTTTAACCAGAGTGTTATAGTGGTGCTGGCTCGGTTTATCTTGCCCGTTTTTTATCTTGTCTTATCAATGGTTTGTCTTGTTTACTGTGCATAAATAAATACGCTGGAAAATTGATATTAATAAGTGCATAAGTATTGCTTGTCTCCTCACTACTGTTCTTGTAGACCATACAAATATTTAAAAATGTATTCATTCATGGAATGTGGCAAGGCCAATATTTGTCTATCCCTAATTGCCCTTCAATTGAATGGCTTGCTAGACTGGTTCAGAGGGCAGTTAAGAGTCAGCCACATTGCTGAGAGTCTGGAGTCACATGTAGCCAGATCAGAAAAGGATGACCTATTTCCTTTCCTAAAAGATATTAGTGAACCAGTCGTGTTACATCAAATCTTTTCAGTGATCTGGATCTCATCAACATGCAACCTATCACCGCAATGTAGAACTAACCCCTCAGATCTTTTTCTGACTGAGGATCAACTGTCCATCTTTCATCTCCTGGGCACCCTGCTTGCGGTTGAATGTCATCCTCTGGCATCGGATATCTAGCAGTGCTGGAGACTTAGTGACCTTCAGCAATGGGCTTTTTCTTGTTTACTTTCAGACTCAAATTGTTGCTATTTAACAAAATTATCTAATCGAAGCATTGAGTCCCTTATCTAGTAAATGCATAATTACATTTATCAACAGTTTCATTTTTGTGGGACATTCAGATAATAGATATATTGATGTTCAGAAAGTGACTGTTCTATTTTGCACCTTGGAGCATTTACATGCCTCAAGCAAGAACATTTGAAGTGCAATGATTCCGGCACCAATGACAAAGTTGTATTTTGTGCTGGGAAATAACAGCAGTGATGAATGTAATCTTGCTGGTTTCAAAACAGTTCAGCTGATATACTGGGGTTATCACTAAATTTAAAGATTTAATCAAGTTACTCTGAATCCTCAATTTACAGAACAAGGAACTACCATTTTTATTACAAATAAATCCATTCTAACCGTGGGCAACAAATAACTGATTTAAGGTAGAATTCTCTTCTTAAACTCCACCCCTTTCTATATCCCCTACGTATGCAGACAGATGCACCAACAAAAGAAAAATAAATGTTATGGGTGGAGGGAAATAAAGTTAAGCGAGACAATTCAATGGTGTCAATCCACAAGATTCAGTGAGGTGTCCTTGTCCTTCTAATTTTCAATCTTTTAAGTCATTTCAGGTTATTACTGAAGACTTGGGGTAGTTGAAACACCAGTTGTTCTGTCTCAGAGGTTAGAAGCAGTAGCTTATGGCAGATGGTTAGATGGAATAGCTAGCTGTCTACTAATTCTTTCTCACTTCACTACAAGGAGACAGTGAATGCTATCTTTTTAGAGTCTGGAAATTTTCTGTCACCATATTGTTCTCATGACCCACAAAACTGATCCTGATTGAAAAACCAAGTGTCTGCCTGCGTGTGCGCGCGCCGGCAAGGTGCCGCTAAACAGTGCAGACGAGTCCAGCATACTCCCCTATGACTTGAACAATGCAACAGTGTAAATAAAATTCACAATGATTTTCAGTTTTAAATTTGCAGTGTCTCCTTCAACAGTTTAACGCAGTGACCTTTATCCCATTTTGATCCACAATTCAAAAATAGTAATTTCCTCAGTCATGTGCATGACTACCAGCGGTTTTTGATGTTGGGTAGCAGGTCACAACCATTCTGACGTAAAATGCATTGAAAACACTAAAATTGCATAAACTTCACTCACGTCTGTATAGATGTGCATAAGGAGAAATTCTGTCATGGTAACGTAAGATCAAAAATAAGCTGGTGTTGCTGCTTATAATATGATGCTGAGCCACTGGATTCATTAGAATTATATTTCCATTTTTAAGCTACAGTTTATGGATAGTGTAAATTTGAAGAGTAGCAAGAACAACGGCTATCTTTTTTTTAGAAAAGCACTACACCTGCCCCCTCACCCTCATCCCAGGCCCCAAGAAGACCTTCCACATCAAGCAGATGTTCACCTGCACATCTAATGTGGTATACTGTATCCACTATTCCAGATGTGGCCTCCTCTCCATCGGGGAAACCAAGCGGAGGCTTAGGGACCGCTTTGCGGAACACCTATGCTCGGTTCGCACTAAACAACTGCACCTCCAGTCGCGAACCATTTCAACTCCCCCTCCCATTCCTTAGATGACATGTCTATCCTGGGCCTCCTGCAGTGCCACAACGATGCCACCCGAAGGTTGCAGGAACAGCACCTCATATTTCGCTTGGGAGCCCTGCAGCCCAATGGTATCAATGTGGACTTCACAAGCTTCAAAATCTCCCCTCCCCCTACCACATCCCAAAACCAGCCCAGCTTGTCCCCGCCTCCCTAACCTGTCCTTCCTCCCACCTATCCCCACCTCCCACCTCAAGCCCCACCCCCATCTCCTACCTACTAGCCTCATCCCGCCCCCTTGACCTGTCTGTCCTCCCTGGACTGACCTATCCCCTCCCTAACTCCCCACCTTTACTGGCTCCACCCCCACCTCTTTGGCCTGTCTGTCTCCTCTCCACCTGTCTTCTCCTTTATCCATCTTCTATCTGCCTCCCCCTCTCTCCCTATTTATTTCAGAATCTCCTTCCCCTCCCCCGTTTCTGAAGAAGAGTCTAGGCCCGAAGCGTCAGCCTTCCTGCTCCTCTGATGCTGCTTGGCCTGCTGTGTTCATCCAGCTCTACACCTTGTTATCTCAGATTCTCCAGCATCTGCAGTTCCTACTATCTCTACCTATGTCAATCCCTGTTTAAATTTCTGTTTGTTTTGTTCATGTATAAAATGTATCAATCTGTTGTGAATCATTCCCTTATTCTAACTCCTTGGATTTTCGACCTGCAGTTTAGTAAATGGGACAGAATCAATTGCCTCTTGAACTCATCTGTGATTCCTACCACTAAACATGCATCATGAAATGTGTGAAATTCAAGATCTGACTTTACACTGGTTGTGATTTCAAAAATTAACAGGAATTTGTACAGTAGCACATAACCATCCTTGCAATTAAACAGAATAACTACCCTGAGAAAGGTACATCTGAGTTCTGTGGAGGTGGCTGATTTATGCTGAAGAATTTGAATCTAACGCAGGTTCATAGAGCTTTACAGCATGGAAAGAGACCCTTCAGTCCACCATGTATGCACCAGCCATTGAACGTCCATCTATTCCAGTCCCATTTTCCAGTACTTGCTATTCCAATTAACCGCTGAGCTCAAAGTGAAAAAAGTTTTTTTTTTCCTCAATCACCCTTAAAACTCCTGCCCATTACCTTAAAACTCTGCCCCCAGGTTGTTGGCCTTTGCCTCAAACAGCAACCCACCCTCCCTTCACCAGTCTCTATTTAAAGGAAGACAACATCATTTTGTCTAGTCTGTCCAGAGCTGAATTGCCCCAGGCAGGCAGTATCCTGGTCAATTGTATGTACACCGTCTATAGGGCAGTCACATCCTTCCTATAATGAGACAGCAAGAACTGTATGCAGTACCTCAGCTGTGTAAAATGTCTTGTCATGTACATCCCTCTCTATTGTCCTTGCTGTTGTCGATACTTCATTAGCGACCTGATCAGAGATGTTGTTATTTCGTACCTCTTGTTGGGCCTCCTGGTCCAGAGAAGTGAAAACCGGGGCCCAACAAGCAAAGGTTGCTTGCCAGAATTCGGGCCTCCTCTTAATTTCTTCTACACCTGCTGATGCCCCAGTCCTTCTAATTTTACTTGACTGGAACTTTGCAGTTGGCCAGTGCCAAGTATCCTTGACTGACAATTATTCCAATCATAGATCCATGTAATTGAGTTTTTATAGCTCGATCTCCTCAACATTTTTTTTTGAGTTTTTCTGAAGTGGAGAGATGAGTTCAAAACTAATCTTGCATGTATAAAAACCTTTCACAACCTCCAACTTCTCAAAGATCCTTAAATCAATAAGGTAATTCCACAGTAACCACAATTCAAAAATACATCAGCCACTTTGTATACACCAGGCCCCGCAAGCAGCAACATGATAACAGCCTGTTTTTTTGTGAAAATCTTAATGTTGTATTTATTCTGTGGCTTCGTGAATCACAGGATTGCCACGGCACAGAAGGTGGCTGTTTAGCCCTTTCATGCCTGCATTGGTTCTGTTACATAGTGCCAAACTCCTATCTCTTCCTCCTATTCCTGTACACCATTTCTATCCAAATAATCATCTAATTCCTCATTGAATGCCTTACTCGAACCTGGCTTCTCCATGTTTCTCGGCATTCCATACCCAAATTACTCACCTGTGTGCAAAAAGTCATTTTTTATTTACCCCTCGCACCACCCTTGCTTCATTTGCACCTCAGTTTAAATCTTGATCCTGCCAATTTTTTTTCTTTCATGAGTGGGATCAGTTTCTCTCTATCTACTCTGTCCAGCTCACTCATGAAATCTGCTCTCAGTTGCCATCTCTCCAAGGAGAATAATCCAATTTCTTCAGTCTATTCTCAACTGAAGTGTCTCATCCCTGGAACCATTCTTGCAAATCATTTCTGTACTCTCACCAATGCATTCGTATCTATTTTGTAATGTGACACCCACAACTATGCACGATACTCCATCTATGGTCTAACAAGTGTCTTGTAGAAGTTCAATGTTATTTCCTTGCTCTTGTACACAATGCTTCTGTTAAAAAAGCTGAAAATATTATGCCTTATGACTGCACTTTCCACCTGTCCTGCCACCGTCCATGATCTGTACACATTTGTGCCCAGGTCTTTCTGCTCCAGCAATCCCTTTTTAGAATTGTATCCCCTGTTTTATATTGTCTTTTAATGTTCTTCTGACCGAATTGCATCCTGTCACACTTCTGCCTTACATTGAACATCATTGATACCAATTCACCCACTCCAACTTCTCCAATGTGCTTTTGGAGCTTCACATACTCCTCCTCACGGGTTACAATTCTTCTAAGTTTAGTGTCCTCTGCAAATTTTGAAATTTTCCCCTGCACACCAAGATCCAGATCATTTAATGTCTCAGGGAAAAGTGCCCCAATACCAAATTCCACTACAAATCTTCCTTCATCCTGAAAAAAATCCATGACCATTATACTGTTTCCTATCATTTAACTAATTCTGCATCTATGTTGCTACTGATCCTTTTATACTGTGACCTAAAACTTTCCCCTTGCTTTGTCTGTCGTGAAACACCTTCTAGAAACCATGTTTACCACAGTGTTACGCTCATTGATCTTTTCTGTTATGTGTGCAAAACCTCCAGCAAGCTCGTTAAACGTGATTTCCCCTTTATAAATCTGTGCTGATCTTCCTAATCAGCCAGCCTTTTTCTATGTGACTACAAATGCTATCCTGAGTAATTGTTTCTAAAAGTCTCTCCACCACCAAAATTAAACGAACTAATCATTAATTGCTGGGATTATCCTTGTGACCTTTCTCGAACAAGGCCATAATGTTTGCCATTCTCTAGCCTTCTGGCATCTCCCCAAAGTCAGGGAAGGCTAAAAGATTATCGACAGTGACCACACCCCCGCCCCCATTTCTACCCTCACTTCATTCAAAATCCTTAGATGCGTGTCACCCGATCCTAGTGCCTTGTTTACTTTTAAGTACCAACAATCTATCCAAGACTGTTTCCTTATTAATTTCAAACCCTTCTAGTGACAGTTTCTCCTCTGTCACCATGGCCTGAACAGTATCCTCCTCTTTTTAGTGTAGACAGATGAAAAGTATTCATTGAACACCTAAGCTATGTCCCTGTGTAAAGCACCTTTTTGGTCTCTGATCAGCCTTACTCCTCCGCTAACCACTCTCGCAGTTTATGTACCTAAAGAAGACTTTGGGATTTCCCTCCTGGTTTTTCTCAAATTCCTTTTTGCTTTTATTTACTTTTTAAATGTATGATCAGAATTTCACCAGTGAAAGATAGATCCTGTAGCAAAAATAAAGCCAGTTGTCTTATTATCATGAACATGTTCCCTCCGGCGTTGCGACTTCATTCATGACTGTAGACTAAATGGAAGCTGAAACATGTGAAATAAGAATGGAAGAACCGGAAATGTAAATGCTAATAAAATCAACCCTTTGTTATTTTCACTGACTGCTGAGTTTACTTTTTTAAAGGAAAAACTTTTACTGTTTTTAACACACCCTGAATGTCTAATATTTTTCACATGCCTCCTCCTTAAACTTTATACTTGATTTAACATATTAGTTAGTTGGTCCCTCCCCATCACAACCATAGGTACAGGGTATCTCTCACTGTCAGTCAATTTGTTTTCCTGTCAAATGTTCTATAATTTTGGCAGTGATCAACCTCTTAAAAGTTTGCTGATTTGGAGTTTGACATTTTTTTTTTGGTTACTTGTTTCCTTTCTTAATCTAAATGTAATTGTGATTGTATGAACTTGCATCATCTGTGCATTTTAGCCATGGCCCCGTTAATGGTGCTCACTTCTTGAGTCAAGAGATTGAAACCTGCGATTTGTCACTCCAGTTCAGTGTGCAAGAAATGCCACGATTTGTCATGTGTTCAGATGAGGCTCGGGCAGGCATAAAGCTGCTGAAGTTAATTTGTATACCTTGTCTTGCCGATTGGGGTGTCAACCCTCCAGGATTGTTCTACAGTTTCCAGGAATTGGCAATTAATTTCCTGGATGCTCCTGAAAGGAACTGAAGAATTGCAGGATTATTCAACAGTATTCTTCTTTTTTTTTTAATTTCCTTGGAACACTTAGGGAAAGGTCTATTTCACTGATACTCAGTCAGTGTTAATCCATTTGGGCAGTAGAGCGTTTGTTTCTTTTCCGGTTGGCATAGTAAAATAAAATGCCTGGTGCATAGACTGATATTAGGTGTGTGATGGCAGAGGGGGTGTCAGTTCACAGTAGGAGGGCATCTGTCCACAGTTGGCAAGCCTTTTTATTGAGGAAATGAAGTAATGTTGGTTAATTGGCACTCTCCACCATGTTGTTCTTGTGTTTCATTTTGTTTCGTTTTAATGACCTGTTACTTACCATTTTGCGCCCACCCCAAGTACTCAGGTCTCCAGGGCAAGACAGTAGATCACTATCACAACTTTCAATTCTGTGTTTACGTTATTAGGCATGTGATTGCCCCTATTATGGACATTCACTATTCCTTGATTCTTGCTCCATCTTCAGCACAGAAGCACTTTTGCATCTGTTGAACTAAGAATGGTCAACGCACAAATGCACATTTTATGGTCATTATTTGCCAAATAAAATTCTTAATTACAGATTCACCCCAGACAAGTGCTGTTCATTGAAACACCGATTTGGTCAGCTAATCAATTGAGTGAAGTCATGCGCTGACGGTGTTGAGCCTTGTATGCTTACAAGGTGATAGTAGGTTTATTCAACTCGTCTTGATTACCAAAGTAAAGTTGTGCTACCAGCCTTTGCTATGTTCAGCTAGAGTAACTGGTCTAGTGAGGTTTGGGATCTCTCTTAAAAAGCCATCAACATGATGAGACCAAGAAATACTATAATATGTAAAAAGGCTGGTTCAACTCTGCAAAAGCTTTTTGTCTTGTTCCTGAGTTATTTAGTAAAATAGATAACAAGTTCCTCAATTATCTGCTTTGCAGAATCATGAGTAGCCAGTGTTTGCTGGGACACTGCATACTATACGTGTTGCAGACAGATCAGATAGTGCTAAATGTTTAGAAAGGCCTTCCCTTGATTTTAAAAAGGGTACGATGGTTCTGAATTAATAAGTAGTTTTTGCATTTTTTTTAACTCGATTACGGGATCAGGGCATCACTAGCTAAACCAGAATTTATTGCCCCTCTCTAACTGACCAGACAGCAGTTAACAGTCAATCATATTGTCATGGGCATGCAGTTGCACGTAGGTCAGGCCAACTTGGGATGGCAGATTTCCACCCTTTAAAAGACATTAAGTGAATCAAATGCATTTTTATGGCACTTGACAATGGTTACATGATTGCCATCAGGCCAGCTTCTCATTCTAGAGTTTTACATAATGCAAGTTTAATCTGCCATGGTGGGAATCAATTGCATGCTTCAGACGATTAGCCTAGGGTTCTGGATTACTAGTCCAGTGACATTATCACTGCCACCACCTTCCCAGAGTGGAAAGGTATTGAATTAAATGAGAATGGTTGGAAAAATGTTGCATTGTAATTGGTATTAAATCTTCCTGTTCTGTAGTTGCACATTTTAGTTTATTTTTCTGCTTTGGTACAGTCCAGGGCCTCAGCAAGACTAAAACCGCGGCCTGCCCCATCATCAGGACCCAAAATACTTGTCCATAAATCAACAAGTGGAGCGCGAAGACGCAGGACACGATGTCGCAAATGCGAAGCTTGCCAACGCTCGGAGTGTGGCGAATGCCACTTCTGCAAAGACATGAAGAAGTTTGGAGGTCCTGGCAGAATGAAGCAGTCCTGTCTCAAGCGGCAATGTATTGCAGTGAGTACAAAGATATACATTGTGTATATATAATGTTCAATTATTCTGTAAGAAAACCAGTTTCCATGGAGCTGAGCTTATTTTGATTTTAATTTTGAGATTGGCACAGCCTATTCTATTCTTAAACTTGTCTTGGGGTAGAAATATTAGTAATAGGCAACAATGTTCTTTTTGATTTCTGATGGAAATTTTTTTTCAAATAGAATTGATTGTTATGAAAAGAAATACATTCATTTCATATATTCAGTTATTGTTTATTGACTTATGTACAGATGGTTTAGTTTAAAGTATAGAACCACAAATCAATCTTGTAAATTAAAAAACCAATTATCTAACCAAGTGTTTGCATGCACCATCCTCCTTTATCTTAACTGTGTGTCTATTTGATCTGCTTTATGTTGTTAATAGTTTGATAGGTCATATTGCTTCAGTTGGACAAGAGAGTTTGGCAATGTCTTATAATCCAAAATGAAGTCCTGAAAATGCTTGCCTGACTGCTGCTGCTTTTTTTTTCCATGGAGATAACCAGCAAAAACAAACCGCTGCTATAGTTAGAAGGTGCAGAGGGGAGCTTGCAAAGTCCCATTGTTGCACTTCTTGAAATATTTCAAGAAAAGGTGAATGAATTGATTTCATAACACTTTTTAGTAAGAGCGTGTCAGAGGCTGAGGATTGATCTTATAGAGATTTATAAAATCAGGAGGGGCATGGACAGTGTGAGCGGTCAAGCCTTTTCACCAGGGTCGGGGCGGTGTTCAAAACTAGAGGGCATTAGTTTAAAGTGAGAGGGGAAAGATTTAAAAGCAACCTAAAGGGGCAACTTTTTCCATGCAGAGGGTGGAATGAACTGCCAGAGGAAGTGGAGGAGGCTGGAACAATTACAACTTTTGAATCTCTGCGCATCATACAGTGTGGCTGAATATAATTCTGTGGATGCCCAATTTTGAGCCACTAGATCTGATTTGAATCTATCCCATTTAACAAAAGGGTAGTGTCACACAATTTTTTCAACATTTAATCATTAATTGAATCTGGATGGGTATATGAGAGAAGGGTTTAGAGGGATGTGATCCAAATGCTGGCAAATGGAACTAAATTAATTTAGGATATCTGGTCGGCATGGATGAAGAGTTGGACCAAAGGTTCTGCTTCTGTGCTGTATATCTATATGACTCTGAGATGGAGAAAGTTATCAGAAAGTGGTAAAGAATAAAGATCTTGTATTTGTGTAGCACTGCAGGATGTTCCAGAGTACTTTATATCCAATTAATTATTTTTGATGTGTAGTCACTGTTGTAAAACAAAGAGGGGAGAGAAAGAGAAGCTGAGGAAAGATCTTTGAAGGAGTAGTAGAGATACATCTGATCCTGCAAATGTATTTAAATCTTGCAGAAAATAAGGCAAGTTTGATGTATATTGCCTCAAGGATGCAGGTGTTAACCCCAAAGTAATGGTATTGTAATGACTTTTTTTGTTTGCTCATGAGATGTGAGTTTCTCCTGACTAACATTTATTGCTCATCCCTTACAGTCCTTGACAAGATGGTGGTGAGCTGTTTTTGAATCTCTGCGCATCGTACAGTGTGGCTGAATATAATTCTGTGGATGCCCAATTTTGAGCCACTAGATCTGATTTGAATCTATCCCATTTAACAAAAGGGTAGTGTCACACAATTTTTTCAACATTTAATCATTAATTGAATTTAACCCCTCTTTCTTCTCCTCCTCCTCCTCCTCCCCCCCCCACCCCCGGCAGTGGTGGGATTTGAGGATTTGAACTTGTGTAACTGAAGTATTTGTCCTAACCTCTGGATTATTAGGCTGTAACCTCCTCTGCTGCTATACCCCTTACTTGATCATTAACGTCAAGTTGGGCGACCAACAAAAGTTCAATGTGGCATGTGGGTGAGCATGTCAGGTGCAGCACTGAGGCTACTTAATGAGATACCAAGATAGTGAAACTACAATATAAGACTGCAAGATTGCCAAACAGTGGAAACAGTATGGTACAGTTACAGCTGAGTGATCACTCATCTTCAAGGCGAAAGGGAACACCGTCATCTATGAGGGTATCAGTGCCAGAAAAGCTTAGGCTGGGAGTATAGTGAAGTTACAAAAGTCAAATTAGACTGTAATGATCAGGCACATATGGGATTGAAAGCATATCTTGTGGTTAACAATGACTGAGGTTGTGAACTGTCCTGTTCGGACTCCAGCAGTCCAGAGAACCATGTGGAATCATGGCAAGGGAGCAGAGTTGTGGCAGGGAGAAAAGACAATGGCTTCAGTTCACCCAGTATTTAATTGGAAGGAACTGCTAGATGTAGAATAATCATTCTGATAATTTTGAAACGGTGGACGGATTGAGTTGTGATTGTGATAAAGTGAGAGGGGGCAAGTTTAAAGGCAATGCGTGAGCAAATCTTTTTATACAGAGGATGATGGCATGTGCTGCCAGATAAGGTGGGTAGAAGCAGATAGGTTAGGAAAGTTTGAGGGGCGTTTAGAGACACCGATGAACAGGCATGGAATGGAGGGATACGGACCATGTGCAGGCAGACAAGTTTAGTTCAGAATGGCATCATGGTTGGCACAGGCACTGTGGGCTGAAGGGCCTGTTCCTGTGCTGTACAGTTCTATGTTCTAGTTGGAAACTGGTGTGTTTTTGATTATGTGCTACCCTTGGGCAATATCAAATGAGAAATCAAAAAGGCCCAATTATAGATCTTTGGATCCATCAGGAGTAACTTTTTGGAAGTGGAAAGAGAAGATATTGGTGGCCAGATGAAAATGCCAGATGAAAATGGAAATAAGTGAATGCAGTCCATCAGATGTGATAGTGGAGAGGCATAAGAGGAAAATGTCAGAATTAACTGTGTCAAAGGCTGCAGACTGCTTGAAAACAATGTGTTGGGATTGTTTGCTTTTATCACAGTATATTGACGTCTGAGGGCTGTTTTGCTAATTTGGTAGGAACAACAATCTGATTAGAAAGATTGAAATGTGGAATTCTGGGAATGGATTTGGAAGGAATTTGGGGAAGACAGGCAGCTTAAAGATGGGGGTGGCAGTTTGCAAGGGCAGTGGGGTCAAGGGTTGGTTTTGTTCTGAGTGTGATGACAAATTTGAGGGAGAGAGAGATAGAGCTTGAGGAAAAAGAACCATAATTATGTCACATGGGAGCTAAGAAAGTTGGATGGTCATCAGTTTAGTGGAGGTAGGGTCAGCAAAGGCTGGGTCTCACCACAAATGTTCAGTGAGGGCCAAAGAAATTTGGAAATGCAGTTCTAAGTGAATCATGGGAGAGATATTTCTAGAAATGGATGGGTTGGGCTTTGGAGAGGGAAGTGAAATGCAGATGAAGAATGATATAAGCTCATGATCAAAGATTACCTGTTTTTCCATCTACAAAGATAGGGAGGCCAATTGAGTCAGCAATGTCAAGTAAGTGAATAACAGTTGTGCAGTTTTTAGAGGATGGGATTAAGGGATGGTTGGAAGGCAATGGACTTGGAAAGCCAACTTTGTACACAACTCATGATGTTAAAATCACCTAGAGTGAGAAGTTACTTGGTTAGAGAGTCTACAAGCAGGAAAGCAGCGACGATCACCCATTGAGAAAATGACAGTGCATGAGCATGTGCTGCATAATGAGGTCTTAAGGTTCTTGAGTAGATTTGTAGCTTGGGTAGTGGATGCTGTGGTTGGTTCGCTCGCCGAGCTGGTTTGTTAGTTCGCAGATGTTTCATTACCCTGCTGGTTAACATCATCAGTGCAGCCTCCGATGAAGCACTGTTGTGTTTTCCCACCTGGTATTTAAACTCTGGGGTCCATTGGAGTTGATTACCTCCTTTCCGGTTTTTCTTCGCAGTGGTGTGTATATATAGGGTCTAATTCTGTGTTTATTGATGGCCGTCTTGGTGGAGAACCAAGCCTCCAGAAATTCCGGTGCTTGTCTTTGTTCTGGGATCCTGATGTCCCGATGAAACTGGTGGTTCTCCTTATGCGTGTGAATGGAGACGAGTGACTGTTGGTCGTGTCTTTTTGTTGCTAGTTGGTGTTAATGTACTCTTGTGGCCAGTTTCCTCCTTGTCTGTCCAATGTAATGTTTGTCACAGTCCTTGCGTGGAATCTTGTATATCACATTGGTTCGTCCATAGTGGGTAAGGGGTCTTTGGTTTGAATTAGCAGTTGGCGTAGTGTTGACATAGGTTTGTGTGCCACTCTGATGCCCAATGGTCGTAGGAGTCTTGTGGTCAGCTTGGATGTGTTCTTGATGAAGAGTGTGTCAGGGCGTACTGTATCTTTCTGTTGTTTTGCGTGATAGGCATTGTCAGACCCAGCTGTTCAGGTATCCGAGACAACAAGGTGCAGGGCTGGATGAACACAGCAGGCCAAGCAGCATCATAGGAGCAGAGAGGCTGACGTTTCGGGCCTAGTCCCTTCATCAGAAAAGGGGGAGGGGAAGGGGGTTTTGAAATAAATAGGGAGAGAGTGGGAGGCGGATAGAAGAGGGATAGAGGAGAGGATGGGTGGAGAGGAAACAAACAGGTCGAAGAGGCGGGGATGGAGCCAGTAAAGGTGAGTGTAGGTAGGGAGTTAGGAAGGGGATAGGTCAGTCCAGGGAGGACGGACAGGTCAAGGGGGCGGGATGAGGTTGGTCGGTAGGAGATGGAGGTGCGGCTTTAGGTGGGAGGAAGAACAGGTTAGGGAGGCGGGGACGAGCTGGACTGGTTTTGGGATGCGGTAGGGGGAGGGGAGATTTTGAAACTTGTGAAATCCACATTGATACCATTGGGCTGCAGGGTTCCCAAGCGGAATATGAGTTGCTGTTCCTGCAACCTTCGGGTGGCATCGTTGTGGCACTGCAGGAGGCCCAGGATGGACGTGTCGTCTGAGGAATGGGAGGGGGAGTTGAAATGGTTCGCGACTGAGAGGTGCAGTTGTTTATTGCGAACCGAGCGTAGGTGTTCTGCAAAGCGGTCCCCGAGTCTCCGCTTG